ATCAGAAGGGCTTTAATTCAACAATAGACAATTATAACTTCTTAGAAAGAATTAATTTTAGAAACCAACAGTAGGAAGAAGCATCATAAACAGGCGCTTCTGTGTTTTGACAGACTTTCACAATACATGGGCTAAAGATGCCAGACAAAGAAATTCCTTTATAAAGAAATCTGAATACTTGGGAAACACATTCCCCTATTAGGGTATTGATAAAATAGAGGAAGTTGTCATCAGAGGAAAATGCAGCCCTGCAATTTCAGGCTTAGGATATGAAACAGAACATTCACCAAATGCCAAGTTTTCAGCACACACCATAGACAATAATACTCTCTTTATTCAAAATTTCTTGGTACTAAAGGTTCTAATAATCTCCATTTCTGTTTCCCAACAAAGTTGTGCCAGGTACAAAACTATGGATATTGTATCCTGTGAAGTAAGGGAACTTGGACTAAGAGATTTCAAACAAATCCACACATTCCTAAAGTGGGCACGAAACTTTTTTTTTTTTTTTTAACCAGGTGTTGCTGCACTGTCGGGGGGAAGTACAGAAATATGGGGCAGCAAAAAAGAAAAAAAGGAAAAGAAAAGGAAGGAAAGAAAGAAAGAAGAGGTACTAGAGCCAGGTATGGTGGTACATACCTATAATCCCAGCACTCAGAAGGCTCAGGCAGGAGGCTGCCAGTTTGAGGCCAAGCTGGGTTACCCAGTGAGTTCAAGGCCAGCCTAAACTACCTAACAAGACTCTGTCCCAAAGAAAAATAAATAGGGGCTGGAGATTTAGCTCAGTGGCATAAGCGCCTGCCCTGCAAGCGCACGGCATGGTCTGAGTTCAATCCCTGGTACCAATTACACAAACAAACAAACAAACAAACAGGGAACGGAGGGAGGGAACTCAAATAAAAAGCATAGTGAGAAAATAAACTAGAAGGAAATTTTAATCACAACCGTTCACTATTTTAACACAACCAGCATTCAGAACACCAATTGTTTCAGTTAAACTGGAATATAATTAGAAAAGCATGCATGTAAAAATATGAACTAATAGTACATTCTTACATTTTTATCATGGCAAGAAATGCTTTACATTTTAAATTATCAATGACCTGGTTTTGCTATTGTAAGCAGTTTTGTAGTCCCTAGGTACAACAGATGGTTTTGGCAGTGAAATCTGAATGAGAAGAGTGAGAGTGTTAAAATAAAATGTAACTCTTCCTACTGCAGGATCATATAAAATGGAAATAAAGGCTTTTGGATACTTCTTCCACCAAGAGTCCTAGAACACTGCCACAAAAACAACAGAAACACAGTTTAGGCAAGTAAATGAGAAGTCTATACATAAAAGGCAGTGAAATCATTTCAGTATAATGCAGAAGTGGTCACCTTCACCTCACTAGCAGAGAAAATAGACTTAGCCTCACATGGACATTTTTATAATAAAGCAGCAGCCAATGCTGTTTTTTTTTTTTTTTTAAAGTGACAACATTAGCAATGCCCTATGTCCCATACCTCTTTCCAGAAGTTGATTATAAACCTAAAGCAAGCCTAAACTACATAATAAGTATGTAGTTGATACAATCTTTTCCAACTTGATACAATCAAAAATAAATGCCAAAACCCAGAGTTACCATTTATTCTTCCTGGTTTCGCTAATTCATAGACCCACAGTTAGCACCTGGCTATCTCACCACTTTTTTTTTTTTTAAAGGAAGTGAGAAGCTGATATAAGGTGTCCCCATTGAGGGAATGATGGCCTAATGAGTAACTATTTTGAGCTCTTCCCATGTTCTCCAATCAAAACACAAAAGCTTATTTTGTCTTATATGGTCACATTATAATTTTCCAAATATCTCCCCTTTCTTATCAAATATACCATTAAAACAGAGAGCACTTTGATCCCAACAAAACCATCAGTCCAAAAGACAGCAGAGCTAATCACAACCATTACTAAGTCCTTTTATGACTAATGTTCATCTGAAATATCCAAAACAGAACGTATTTTCTCTTCGAATTCTTGTTCCTTGAGTTTTTCAGTGTAACATTTATGAATTTCAAAACAAAGCAAAGCAAAGCAAAACAACAACAAAAAACTAGGACCAGGAATTTAGCTCAGCAGTATAGTGCCTGCCTGGCAATTACAAGGCCCTAAATTCAACTACGGGTACCAAACAAACATAAAGACTCCAAAACAAACATTTACAAATTTCATGCAAGAATTAAAACCACTGCAATCTTAGGCATGAATGGGTTAATATTCTCCTGCTTTCTCAGGAAAAAGCAGCTTCCATTTGGACATGACAAAGCTAGCTTTCTTAGGAGTTTGGAACTGGAAAAGAGTATGTCACTCAGACTAGTCAGATTAGTCCCAGGGATCAGCCATATATAACAAGAAACTACTGAATAAAACTTCTTGGAAAAAGAAGTATTTTAAATTATATATCTCTCCAAAAGTGTTTGTGTTCAATATTATTCAACTACTGGCCAGTAAAATATTAGATGCAACTGATGGCCGTTGTTCCTATATTCATTACTAGTGTCAGGAAGGAAAACTTAAATTTTTCTCCTCAAATTATGCAAGATTAATTTAAGTGAAAGTTATGCTCTTTTCTTAAGTTTGTGACATACCAGCAGTTTACCCCACTATCAAAAGAAGGGAATAAGTAGCAGGGCATGGTGGCACACACATATAATCTCAGTATTCCAAGAGCATTGTTACAAATTCGAGACCAGCCTGGGCTAAGAAGTAAATTCAAGGCCAGCTTGAAAGGCATGGGGAGACCCTGTCTCAAAAAGACCAAAAAAAAAAAAAGAGAGAGAGAGAATAAGTAACAATACCTGCTCTCCCTGTTTGTCAGATGTGTCTGTGAAAAGACAATGACAAACTGATACCCAATAGTGAAAGATTTTCCAGAATTTCCAGTGAAAAGAACAAGGTAGGTCTTTGTTATACAGTTTGCAAGGAAATTTACCACTAGCACCAATCTGTCAATATGAGGGCAAAGAAGAAACAGCAGTTATGTGCCAGAAACCTGAAAGAAGAAAGATGAATCTAAAGGGCTGATACTACTCAGCAAAAAAGGAAAGAAGGGCCAAACGGAAAAAATTACACCATTGTATACACTTGTGCAGCTCAATAACACAGCACGAAGAGGCCAAAGGAGTATTAATTTTAAGATCTGCATTGAATACAAATAAATTGTTTAGTCTATATTACATATTCATTTTTATTCCCAAACACTTTACCCACAACCTACATGAATTCTCATTTCTTTATCTGAACCCCTCTTCAACTATTTATAATTCTGAATAAATTTTTGTATTTGAAGTATTAAATGTATCTTAAATGTGTAAAGTAAGACTTAAATCATTCCCAGTAAGGAACAATAATTTCGTTTTCAACATAATCACTCATAGTAAACTAAAACAGAAAAGACCAACCATAGAATTTTTAAGACACCTTAAAGAAAGACCCCTATGTGATAATAAATCAGATGTTCTTTCATTATGTAAACTTCACTGCTACAGACATTCTTCCAGGACACACTGACTTTAAACTGTTTTCAAGGGAAAGCAACACCCACACAGTGATGTATGGTCTACAGCTGATCCACACACAACTGTGAACTGGCTAGGATTAGGCAGGCAATTTGTACTCCAGCAGACCCAAAAGCAACTATCAGCCTGTCTGAAAAGCAATTCATCACCTATGTCTCATTAGCACTGCCCTCCAGCTGTTAAAGATTTAAACATTAACTTGGATTTTAAAGAGGGGGGAAAGGGGGGAAGTGAAATACTAACAACAGGGAGAAATTTGGATTTTAAAGGGGGGGGAAAGGGGGAAGTGAAATACTAACAACAGGGAGAAACTTTATATAGTCAGTCTACACAAAATTTTCTGTTAATGGAAACCAGCTGCAAGAATAAGAGATGCCATTTTCAGTCTCTGGGCCTAGTAAACGACTAATGGGTTTCTCCTATTCCAAGTTTCCACTCTGGAAGGAAGCCCCCTTAATACATTATTCTCTCAGAGTTCCTGGCACTTTGCAGAATTACCTTTCTAAAATAACTGCTCTAGTTATTTTCTATCCATTAGTTGTGTGCAATGGCTCTTTGAAGAGTGTTTCTAAACTATTCCTTCTATGAGATGCCAAGCATCCCCTCTCCAAAGAAAAAGATCCTAACTCTGTCTCAAAGTATGTGATCCACAAAACTGGCCGTTTTTTTGTTTTTGTTTTTGTTTTTGTTTTTGGTACCGGGATGCAACTTACGACTGCGTGCTTCCAAGGCAGGCGCTTATGCCACTGAGCGAAGTCCCCGGCAAAACTGCCTGTTTTAAATCAAAGTTGTGAACTTGAAACATGCCATTCACAAAACACTGTGATAAAATACTACTGATTATTTTCACTACAATTCTATTTGAATGCCACAAATTTGATTCTACTACATGGTAAATATTTTTCCCAAGTTTTCTCCCATGGAGTTCATAAATCAATTTAAAAGTTGTTCACATGTAACCACTTTAATATTTAATGCATTCCCCCATCCACTCCAATACCAATAGCAACCAAAGTTTTATATATATATATATATATATATATATATATATATACACACACACACACACACACACACACACACACAAGTGCTTTGTTTTCCTAACTTAGGACTGCTACCTCTTCTAGTACAGGTCTTACACAATTTTGGTTTGCAGAAACTGCTTCTAGGAAAAGTCAGGCAGAGTTTTACTCAAAATGAGTAAAATCACTTAAATAAGTTTTCAAAGCTAAAAATAAATGGCCATTTTTCATACCAATATCACTCAGGAATCCTAGGACTGGGTAGATGAGAATGTATTAGCCCTAGAAATGTAGTTCAGTAAAATTTCTATAAAAAGGCATCTCTGGAACCCCAGGTACTAGTACAAGCAGGAATATCTGCACCAAGTTACTAGCAACTTGAAAATACAAAAAACTGGTCTTAAAGTGAAAACGCAAGAAACAAACCTCAATTTTGTCTGTTTTGGCATCCCCCCAGTATATTTTGCCTTCATCATAATCCAAGGCTAAACCATTTGGCCACCCAAGAGAAGTATTAACCAATACTACTCGATCAGAGCCATCTAGAGCTGCTCGCTCAATTTTCGGGATTTCTCCCCAGTCCGTCCAATACATGTACCTACAAAAGAATAGAGAAAATGACCTAAAAATAAATAATACATGTGAGATTCACCCCACACATTACATTGCTACCAACAGTCAACATCCTCAAGAAAAAGTAATAGGACTTAAATATCTGAGAAACATGTTTAAAATATTTGTAATACTAACATACAAATTTTTATATCAGTATTTTCTGGAATTGGTCCTGAAAATGCCTAATAATAGTTCAATTTGCTTATTTATTTTGAGACAGGGTCTCTCCAAGTTCAAACTGCATTTGAACTCACTTTGTAGACCAGGCCAGCCTCAAACTTGAAACAATTCTTGTGGCTCAGCTTCCAAAGTGCTCGGATTACAGACATATGCCACCACACCCAGCATAATTTAATAATTTTTCTTTAAAAAAAAATTTGTGCTTTTCCTTTGAACTTTTTCTCAATGGCTCTTAAATCTCTAACATAAAAGGTTATCTTCATAGAAATATTCATATGACAAAATGAACTATCCAAATAATTTTTCCTACAGTGATTCCTGTGGCTTTTGAACAACTAAATGGGTCTAAAGCATACCACACTGAGGTATAACAATTTGTCACTATGTCTGTCATCAGAATAAATCTTACAGTAACAATAGAATTGAGATGTATGTACAAGTTTATGCTTCCCTGCACTCTAGTCAGGGACCTAAGGTTAAATAATAAAGACATGAAGTAAAGCAACAGGGCCTGACAAGGTTTTGGGAGCCAAGTTATTCATGTACCTTGGGAAATATAAAGTAAAATATATTCATTTTGTAGGTACTGAAATACAATCTTATTGGGGAGAAGAAGTGTGCTGAAAATTTCTTTCCATGTTTTTCATGGTCATTATGCAACCTAAGCAAAATCTGCAGACAATTCCCAAAGTCAGCATGCGTTAAGTTCATTTAGAGAGAAAAATATTCAAGATGTTATAGGCTCCCAAAAAAGCAATTTTTGAGAGTTCATTCTAATTACTACCTTTTAACAGCCATTATAGAGCTATTTATTAAAAACCAACATAAATTGCATGTACTTCATGCTGAGTTAACGTTTTCAGATACCTATTAAAAACAGAAACAACAGAGCTTCTTACCCAACCATGGGATCTAACACAATAGCTCGGGGCTCCTCTAAGTCTTCTGAAATCAAGATCTTCCTCATAGTCCCATTGAGCCTTGTCACTTCTATCCGATCAGTGCCAGTGTCTGTCCAGTAAAGATTTCGTGCAACCCAGTCAACAGCTATACCATCAGGATGGGCAATTTGAGCAGTAACCACAAACTGACTGCCAGATCCATCTATGAAGGAGCGGCGTATGGCCCTCACTTCATCATCAGTCCAGTAGATATAGCCTTCCACAGGATCATAATCTATGGCAATGGCATGACGAATGTCTTCTAACTGCAGAACTATGTCTGTAAAATCTGGTGTATCCAAAGAAATGCGTCTCAAGTCTGTCCTGCGGGCTAACAGCAGTAATTCAGTGGCACCTAGAACAAATTAAATAAAGAAGAAATCATTTAAAAGCCTCAGACAAAATAAAGAATGTAAATGCAGAATTTCTTTAAGAACACACACATACGCCCTACCCCCACACTCCCGCTCCTCTTTAGAATAGATGTGGAAAGTAACACAGTGAAATAGGAAAAGCCCACTATGAAGCCAAACTCTATGATGAGTAAACTCTAAAGCAAGTTTTATCCACTCTCTGGTTTCTTTTGTTAGATAGAATCTTTATAGCTGATGAAAATATTATAAAATTGGATTATAGTAATGGTTGCACAACTGTAAATTTATTTTGAAAAATCACTAAATAGTACATCTGAAATGGAAGAATTTTATGATATGTAAATTAATTCTTGGTAAAGTTATCTCATCAAAAAACACAGGGCAATACTTGACACAATTGAGGACAAATGAAGTTATAAAGAAGGAAATGCTCATGGCAGCAGTGAATAGAGAGAAAAAGAAAAACATGAGAGTTGTGGACCCAACAGAACTTGATTCAGGCAGTTATATAGACTTAGGCAAAAACATCAAATCTTTCAAAGTCTAGTTTTTTCACCTAAATGTCCTAAGGCTGCTGAGAATTAACAGTGATAAATGTGAAAACTAGGAAAGTATTAAGCATATAAATACTCTCTTTAAATTAACTAATTATTATGTATAAGACAGATTTTAAATGTTTGTTTCACTGAGTTGTAAGTCACATTTATGACTTACAAATCAAAATTCAATGAAAACATAATTGAGCATTAAACTCAATTTTTCCATTTGATTTTTAGTGTACAAGTAAATCATCTCCACAGAAAATACCCAAGACTAATGAAACTGGTAAGCCACTTAATAATTGAAAGAGCAAGAAAAATTACTATTAAAAAAAATTTTTTTTTAGGATATAAACTTCAAGCATCAAATCAGTTACAGATGCAAAAACTAAGGAAATCAATGATGTTTCTCAACCTCAGCTATCTGATTACAGGGCTAATTATAAATTTATTCTGACTTGAAGAAAATATTACCCCAAGTGCCCTAGTAGGCACCAAGTAGAAGTAACTGGACAATTCAATGCCCCTACTAAGTACCAAAAGGAACCAGTCGAAACTTTGCAAACAAAAAGCCATGGAGCTATTAATCTGAGCAATGACCAAAACAAAATAGTTAATTTAAGGTTTCTACCTGCCAAATGTACACCTCAAACTAATTTTGAAACTCAAAACTAGTTAAACATGTACATTTGTACCATTATGAGAAACAGGCCACTATTGCTAAAATATCTTGGTTTTAAAATCAGGCTACAGTTTTAAACAAAAAAAGCAACATTACAAAAAACCTTTTGTTTTAAATTCAAATCAAATTATTGTTTGCCATGGAAACCATCTGACAAGAGCCAGCCAACTTCACCTTTGACTATGAGGATAATTTATCAATGCCAAGTCATAACAAATATCCAGTACACAGACTCAATTCCATCTCTCTGACTCCCTGACCTCCTTGCCAGGAACACACTAACACACTCTGAAATAAAGGCTTCTGCTTTTCAGAGTTAGATAAAGAAGCTACTGCTAAATATAACTATTTTCTTATCAGGTCTTGCTGGTTGCTAGAGAACCAGATGGTGATCAATAAGGGTAAGAATGAAGAATAACATTCTCATTAAGAAGAAAAAGAAAAAACTGGTGTTCTTGTAAATCATAAGTCCCTTGAAATGTGCTAAATCAGTGTATTTCTCCAACATGCCCTTCCTCTATAGGGAATTATGCATAAGAGGAGGCAAAATATGGTGGTTAAGTAGAAAAAGAAACTGCTTTCAGCACTATGATATGGCTTTTGTTTCTTCTGAGAGCACTTGTGTCATTATTAGAAAGCAATTAAAAATATTCAGTCACTTGCTAGAAAATACATATATCTCTCCCATTATAATCTTTGTAGCTTAAAATTTAATGAATACTTTTCCCTCCAGAAATTCTTTATTTACAAGTGCTATCTACTATTAAAAATATTTTTTGAGACATTCATTTTCACATGGATCAACTCTGCTATCAGTGATTATGAAAAATTGATAGAGAACAAAAATAGTATATACTTTTTTCCAAAAATAGCATGATTTAAAATAATAAGCTTATAAAATAGCATTCAAAAGATGACATAAAACATTCTTCCTACATAACCATTTGAGTGACTGGTTTCCCAAAACACTGTAACCTATAAAACTTTTTATAGAAAAATAAATCAGAAAATCTCAAATGCTCTCATGAAGTTTTCTTTTTCTTGGATAATATCATCTTACCATTTTTGCAAGTTTTTCCATTCTCCAGAAGTTTGACCCCCGTTGGGCAAGCACACTGATAAAATGGCTTGACTGGAGACATCAAACACAAATGAGAACAACCACCATTATCAATTCCACATGGATTTGTAGCTGTCAAATATAAATCACACTGATTAATACCAATGATTATGGATGACCTCCCTCATTCTAGGTACACAAAGGTTAACAACCGTAACATGAGCAACAGTGATAAACCAAAATTATTACCAAATGTTATCCAGGTGCTTGACTACCAAACCATCTGTAAAGAAATGAATTAATCATCAAGAATTAACTTGGCATTTTGTATCCAAAGAGAAACAAACAAAAAGCAAAGCAGGAAATCCTTGCTCTAAAAGAGCTTACAATCTAATTGGTAAGCCAAAAATCAATAAACAATAAAACTAAGAAACAAAACAGTGAACCTTAAATATCATCTTGCACATTATAGACTGTGAGTATAGAGTGAAGCAGAAATCACTCATTTGAAGAACTGAAGAAAGACTTCATGGAGTTTGTAAAATGTGACTTGAAATATAAGAGAAAATTAAAAAAAAAAACATTTCAAATGTGTTAACATCATAAGAATAAAAGCTTGGAGGCCATTCAGTGAGTAAGATAAAATAAAGAGCAAAGATGTGGGGTCAAGGTCTTCACTGTCTAACAGAAACTAAAGCTAAAGGATGAGAACACTGTAGTGGATAATATTGAAAGCCAAGAAAAGTAATTAGAATGTTGAAAGGTTGTATCTTGGAAAGATTAATATGAAAGAGATATGCAGAATGGATTAAGTAAGAGGAAAAACTCTTTTTGAAAAGTAGAGAAAACTAATCAGCAAATCTATAGAAACTATGGGATGAACATATTCAAATAATATTCATGGGAAGAGCCAACAGAAGACAGAGACTAACAGATGATATAAAAGACAGCAACATAAAAGTAACTGCAAATTCTCAAGTATAACAGAAAGGATCAATAGTGTCATTAAAACACACAGTGAAAACTTTCTCCTGAGGGCTACGAGAACAAAAAAATTTGTGAGTGATTAAACATTTTCTTTGTTATAAAAGAGTAACACATTTTAAAATATTTTTGTGGGCTCATGATCATCAAATTCCAACATAACACATTCAATATTTGATTATCTCCTCCAAATGGAAAAAAACAAAGCAACACATGATCCAAAAACATTCTGGCTACAGAACACAATCTGAAATATACTCAGACACATGCCAGACATTTATTTACACACAAGTGCCAAACACTTAACATTCTCATATTCCTTCTAAACCTAATTCCATTCCTCTCTTACAAGAGGTCATTGTGAGCTGACACAGCCCAAGTCATTTTAAAGGGTGACTAAAATAGAAGCAAAACTTTAAAAGAGAGAAAGAAAGGAAAGTATGCAAGGAAATGTCTAAGTAGGTACTTTATTCAGGCAAGCTGAGATACTGAAACTCATCATCTAAAATAACCAATTCCCCTTCAGGAAAACTGTTTTCTAAAGACAGAAATTCCAACACACATGCAAAAATGCATCTGTGTAAGCTTAACAAATGAGTTGTCTCAATTTTTAATTTATTTCTTTTTCTCTACTTCCATTACCCCAAACAAAAGGAAGCTAGTAAATAGTAATACACAGCTACAAATAGTTTATTTTAGGCTATTGCTTAACCTCAACTGTATTTCCATCTTTTTTTTCTTTTTCATTTCCTCCTACTACTTTTGGATATGTTCTTCCTCCTCCTGATCCTCACTAAAGCCAGACATCAGACTGGCGCAAGCCTGTTCCAACTTATGATTTAAAAACTAAGATCACTTACCATTTGGCTGCCTCTGCTGGCTAAAGGCATGTATATCCATGGGAGAGAAGATGTTAGAATGGATTTCACGCAGACCTTCGCCAGTGTACTTGTTGCAAGCCAAAATGGAGTGTGTGTTCCAGTCAGTCCAGTACAATGTGTCCTCAAACAACGTCAAGGCAAAAGGATGTGGAAGGGAACCTTTAACCACTGCCTGCCTATTAATGCAAAGAGAAAATTTTATTTTTAAATTTTCTTCATAAGACCATTTGCTCCCATTAAAATAAACTTTGTTCACATTAACACATACAAATCTTGCAGAACAACTACCTTTGGGTCAATGTATCTATGAAAAATAATTGAAAAATAATTCACATGATAAATTCAAGTATGTTTTCAAGATGTCCCAAAAACCCCACCAAGGCCTTCAGAATCGTCCTTCACATGGAGGCAGACTTCAAGTTCACTACAAGCCACTTTGACAGAAAAGGCCTAAGTGTCACAAATGCTGTCAATTCCCACTCCTCTGCTATCACTTCTGAACTGACATCTTCCATCCTTTCACATAATACGTTATTTTCATGAGAAGAAAGGTGAGCAATAAGAAAAATTCCAAGAGTTACAGCTGGCACTGGAAGCACATTTAAATCGTCAATAGGTTTATTCCTTCTTGATGCGGAAGAACAAAGAATCTGAACCTGTTGCTTCAATCGTTTCTTAGGATTTTAATAACGATGAATGAAAATATACACATGGGGCTAAAAAAGCTTTCAGGTCAAGGTCCCCCTGCAAACTTCCAGCAAAATCACCCAAACTGACTTCTTCATATTTAACCTTCCTAATTTAGGCAGGCAAAACAAAATCCTTCACTGTTAAGCTATGTTCATGGGACAAAGAAGACCCAGAAATTTCATTAACTATACATATTATTCAAAAGGAAAAGGAGTGAGAGTTAAGTGTCAAAGCATAGAATTTTGCAGTACCAGAATTACATAATTAGTACCCATTCTAGAGTAATAAATTGTTTTGAGTCAAAATAATGTCCATGAAAATACTTTTTCATCGACATTTTTATAAATTCCAAGTTTTCTAAGAGTCTAACAGAAAGAAAATATAAACTACTAATGAAAAATAATCTGGGAAGCTACTTGATGATCATTAATATCTATCAGATAACTAGTTCATTAAATTGTTGCGCAGTAACATAATGCCAGGTATATAACATCAGCATGTTTAGTTTGCCAAACTTTTAATTTTGGAAACTTACGCCACTCTATCAGCCTATATCAGAATTTCTCCTTAATGTCCCATTCCTCAGCGGATTATTTTCCCTCTCATTTACAACAAAAAACAAATGAGCAAACAAAATTGTCACAATACCTATTTCTGAAGTGCATCCTTCCACTTTCAACATGTTCCTGCCAGCTTGAACCACCAGTGGTACAGGCATGACTGACCCACTAGGCAGCCTGCACCACTGGGATACAAACAGAACTAATCACTTTTACTGGTATTTTTCCTAATAAAATTAATATAAAGCCACCTAATGGGACAGTTGTGCATGTTCCACAAGTAGTTCATGCTTCCCAAAAGTAAGACAGACAAATTACAGTTCCATTGTGAATGTGTTAAATGAGTAATTTTTATTAATTAAAATAGCCTATCATAGTTTTAAGTTCAATTTTAAACAAGCCCACTAATGTCTTGCAAAATTCTTCATGGTAAGACACAAAGAATAAATTCTGAGAAGATGCCAAGACACACAAAAATATAAATGAAAAATAAAGAATAATAAAAACTAAGTTACTTGCACTTCATCAACCATCCTAAAAAGTAGGAAATTACATAATCCAATTTCTTAAAACTTTGGAGACAAAAAGACCTTTTAAAGGTTCCTTTGTGTCTCTTTAAGAGGTAAATTTTCCCTAATGAACACAAGAAAATAAAGATGGCAAAAGCAAAAATTCCTCTCTGAAACCTATGATTTTTTTTAATATACTGACTGAAAACACATGATTAAAAACCAGACTGAACTGAGTTTAAATCCCCCAACACTTACTACTTACATCATCTCTGCAAGATGTTTTCCTCGTCTGTAAATGAAAGATAATAATCTATCTCACTGAGTCACTGTGAAGATGAAATGGCAACATATGCAAAGCAATTTCACACTATATTTGGTACTTAATAATACAGTGCTTCATAAATGATTCCTCAAATTTAGGGTATATGTTTTTCAGTATTTCCAAGCTAATTTAGTTTGTTTTTCATTTTTAAACTGGGACTCAAACTCAGAACCTCACACTTGCCAGGCAGTGGCTGTGCCACTGAGCTATATCCCCAGCCTGTAATTTAGTATTTGATATTAAGTCTTACATATTTAAACATGAACATTTCATATGTTAGTTTTTAAATAAAGCTTTTTAAAATCAGTAATTAGATCCTTTAGATGTCATTTCCTTTTCACAGTCTTCCTTAATTTGTTCTCCTCCAACTAAAGTTATTTTTCTTTTTCTAGCTGTCACAGTAGCTAGTGGACTATTTCATAAATATTTACTTATTCAACAGCTCTGTAAATGAGTACCTTTTCCAGAGTAGGAACTATGGCTTTTTTATATTTCTAAGATCTCATACAATGTACAAAAATTAGGTATACTTATTAAACTGTAAATGCTTAATAGAAGTTAAATGTTTTACTTTATGAAACAAAGTAACAATAGTTAATACACTGTGTATCATTATCTTCAAAGTAGTTATGCAAAGTACACTGACAAAGATTCTTTCCTATGAAGAACAGATATTAGCACAAAACTTTCTATGTACTAGAAGAAACTAGTAATATAAACAAAGCAAAAAAATTAAAATGTTTTAAATTGAAAACATGTAATTAACAGAGCTGAATAAAAAGCCGAACAAAACATAACAATCACTCCTAGGTCATTTACTTATTTGTCCAGTCAATCAGGACTTGTTCTTAAAGGTGTAGATAACTAACTGTACGGTTTTTATCTCCTCCCTCAACTTCCAAGATGCTAGCATTACGGAACATATTACCATGACTAGCAGATTTCTGTTTCTAAAAAATAATTAAGGGATAACTAAGGAATCAACTAAACAATGATCTGGGGTGTTTTTTGGTTGTTACCGGGGATCGAATTCATGACCTCATGCTTGCCAGGGCAGTCACTTACACCCCTAAGCGAAACCCCCAACCCACAATGAGATTTAGAATTAATAATTTAGTAAAGTTAGCTAGCATTCAAGCTGAGCCTTGACAGGAAAAAAAAAAAAAAAAAAGCTGATTCAAAACAAGAAATGGAAGACCTACAAACTAAATCAATAAAAAGGGCCATGTCACACTTTAATTACTGAGCTTCTTCAGGAGGAATAATACACAGCAAGTTCTAAAGTCTTTACTGAAAAATGGTTAATTTACTTTGAAAAATCCCCTTGCCTTTTGTTTATCTTGGGAATGTCTTAAGTTACCCCTTATTTTTAGTTTTAATTTTTATCTGGAGGTCAATACTGAGGATTGAATCTAGGGCCTTTATACCACAGACCCATTCCCTTTTTAAATTTTGAGATAAGATGTTAAGTTTCTTGGGCTGGACGGGAATTCATAATTCTCTTGTCTCAGCAGCTCAGAGTACTGGGTCTACAGGCATGTGCCACCATGCTCAGTTCTGTTTTGTTTTGTTTTGATTTGATTTGATTTGTTTTAGAGACAGTTTCACTATGCACTTCAATCGGGCCTTGAACTTACTTTGTAGCCCAGGCTGGCCTCAAACTCACAGTTATGTCCTTGCCTCAGCTTTTTGGGTGCTGGGATTACATGCAGGTACCCCTATACTCCCTGTCTCTCATTTTTTAAGAACTGCTGGATACAGGAGTACTGTAAGTTTACAGTTCCTTTATTTAGCACTTTGAATTTATTAGTTTACTGCTACCTTTGTCACTTTCCTTGTCACTGAGACACAATACCCAACACCCAAAACTTAAGGAAAGATCATTTTGGCTCATAGATTAGTCCAAGGTTAGCTAGCTCCAAAGAAGAAATAGCATGACAAAGGGCCTGGTGGAAGAGAAATAGCTCACTTCATGGTGGCCTGGAAGCAGAGAGCAAAGGGAGGAACCTGGCAGAAAGACAAGAGATCTTGATATTCGAGTCTTTCTCAAATTTGGGGGAGCTTTCAGCCATTATCTTTTCAAATAACTTCTCTGGCCCCTTCTTTCACACTTCTTCTGGAATAGTCAGCATGCTGGCCCACTAATGGTGTCCCTCTAACCCACCCAGCTCTATTCATGCTTCTGGAGCTTGTTTTTTCTTGCTCCTGCATCTCTGATAATTTCTCTTGTCCTATCTTCAGGGTCACCAATAGTTTTTTCACTTATTCAGAACTGTTTTTAAATTTATCTAGTGGGTTTTTTTTTCACTTTAGTTATTGTACTTTTCAACTCAGAATTTATTTTTGGTTTCTTTTTAGATTATCTTTGTTGACAGCTTTTCTATTTTGTTCAAATATTATTTTCTTGACTTTATATCTTTTTATAATTCTTTGAGAATCTTTAAGCTGTTTGAATATGTTTATTAGATCTGTTATCAGGTCTTTTTACTTTTTACTAGGTAAAAAGTAAGTAAATTTACTAGGTAAATTTACTTTTTTCCTCCTGTAAATAAAGTGTTTATTTAAAGGCCTTTTCTTTTGTTTATCCTGTCTTACGTATCCTAGTTCAGTGCTTTCTCCCCTGAAATGATTTGTCTTTTATTTATAATGTTTTCCTGAGTTTTCTCATCTCATTTCTGAATTTTTCTGGTTTCACATTATTCTTTCATATTTGTTCTGGTTTCTCACTAACTTTGGCACAATTTTAAACACAAATTTGACCTCTGCTGTGGTGATGTTTCTCTGGGGTGCTTTGTATATAAGGATTCTGTTCCTTATTCCTCCTTTTTCGGGGGGGAGGTACCAGTGATCAAACTCCTAACCTCATGCTTCACAAGCAACAACTTGAACTACTGAGCTAAATTACCAGCCCTTCTGTTCCTTATTCTTTTCTTCTTTTTCAATAAACAACCTCCCCAACCCACACACCTTTACTAGGAATTGAGCACATGCTTCCCAGACAGGTCCATTTTTGAGATAGGGTCCTACCAAGTTACTAAATTGCTCAGGCTAGGATTGAATTTACAATCCTCCTGCCTCAGCCTCCAAGAGTGCTGAGATTACAAGCATACACCATCATAACCATCTCTTTGTGATAACTTTAAATGGGATTTATCTTGATATTTTCCTCTTCCTTATGTTTATGTAATATTAATTTTCCTAAACTTTCACAGATTATTAAAAAGTATGATAGCTTGGTTGCTGAGATCTTCTACCTAGTCCCCATCCTTCTGTGAAAATAATCTTTGCTTTCCCTTTTGTTCTTTCCTATCCTACTGAATTTTGTTTCTATTCAGTATATTATCACGTTCTGTATGAGAACTTTGAGGATTCACTAGAGTTTCACTGCCAAATTTGAAGTTGAAACATAGCCATTATATTTTTATATTCCATAATATATGTACTTTTGAAACACCTATTTTTAATTTTAAAATATCATGTTTTAAGTCGCTTTAGTTTTTTGGAAATGAGGCCAAAAAAAATGTAACAAAAAGTTTTTTAATTAAATTCTTGAAGTTTCTCAAAGTTCAGAAATTTTTCAAATGTTTACAATCTGGGGCTCTCTTAGAAACAAACATCAATAACCTACATACATATAATCAAACACAAGAATGTAAGTATTGTGTCTTCAAAAATCTAAGCACGATCTGAGAAGAAATTCCATGTGTCTGAATTTCAAAATCTGTGCTATGATTTATATTCAACTCATACTGAACTTTTAACTGCCTGTTTAACAGCATCAAGAGCACAACCATTAAAAAATGTATGAGAAGCCACGGATATAGCTCAGTGGCATAAGTATCTGTCTGAAAAGCACAAGGTACTGAATTTGATTCCTGGTACCAAACAAACAAACAGAGTATGAGACACTACTTTCAGTTATCAGTTATCATCAAAGGAACTTATTACTAAGCATCTAGCTCCCTGGCCCCTTCCTCTCTTCTGCTACCCATATGATCTGCTGCTTTCCTTAGATATTACATTGTAATACAAAGTCCTCACTAGACATAGCTGCCTAATCTTGAACCTCTCAGCCTTCAGAACTATAAGCCAAAATAAGTCTCTTTTCTCTATAAATTACCCAATCTCAGGCATTGTTACAGTAACAGAAAACAAACTAAGAAGTCCTGTCCTAATATAGACATTTACCAAGAAAGTTTCCATAAGTAGTACAATGGCCTATCGATAACTTTGAGTGAAACCACTCTGTTCTATTGTATATCCATCACACTGTGATATAGTTAGCATCCCTGGTCTCCCACAAACTAAAATACTAGAGGCACTCCTGTAATTGGATTAATTAAAATTTTCAATACATTTTCAAACACTCTGGAATGGAGTAGATACACAATTCTGGGTTTAAAATTTTTTTTTTTGTTAAAGAGAGAGTGTCTTGGGGGCTGGGGATTTAGCTCAGCGGCATAAGCACCTGCCCTGCAAGCAGGCAGTCGTGAGTTTGATCCCCGGTACCGATAAAAAGGAAAAAGAAAAAAAAAAAAGAGAGAGTGTCTTGCTGTGTAGTCCAGGTTAACCTTGAAGTTACAGCAATCCTCCTGCTTCAGCCTCCCAGACGCTGGGAATATAGGGATGTGCTACCATGCCGGCCAACCCTGGGCTGAGAACCATTAAAGAAATAAGACAGCTCAGAGCAAGGAAGCAGAAAATACATCCCATAAATTTTGAATGCTAAATGATAGATGAGAAATGTCATTATTTTCTTAAAGATCAAAGTCAATGTCTATACTTTATTCCCTTTGACACTAAAGTCAAAAATACAGATCAGGCGACATACAAAGCCAACATAGAACGTCCTTGAGTTTAAATAATGAAGCCAACAAGAAATTTTCTTAAAATTTAAAAAAGAAAACATAAAAATCTTACCTATTTGTTCCATCCAAGTTTGATTTATGGATGAAATTAAGTTTGGCATCTGCCCAATAAAGCTTTCGTTCCTCATAATCCAAAGTCAGTCCATTTGGCCAGTAAATTTCAGTATTTATTATAACAAAACGACTTGAACCATCCATTCCAGCACGTTCTATCTTTGGCACTTCTCCCCAGTCTGTCCAGTACATGAACCTAAAAAGCATTAAAAAAAAAAAAAGCCATGACATCACAATTCTATGATTATCACTAGCAGTTAAATAAAGATATTTCAGAAAAATCTGAAACTCCTAAAATTTTTGAAAAACGTAAAATAATCTACTATTTGCAACCACTGGGGTACTACTTGATTCAGCTAAGTATCATCAGGGATGCAAAAACTATTTCGTGAAAGCTTAATGGGAAAATGAACAGTTACACGGTGTCAACGTACCTCCCCACAGCTAAGAACTTAATAACCACAAAGGAAAAAATGTTAAGCTGAGAGAAAATAAGCCTAATGTACTGTCATAAACAAGTTACCAACATTAACATCATCAACATGAAACTAAACTGATAATCATAAAGTTCTTAATGCAATGTACTGAAGGACACAGCATCTTTGATATGTATCTGTTCTACTATTCCAGCCCAAAATGTATAACCTGAATAAAATTATGAGGAAACAGAAACAAATTGAGGTATATTCTACAAAAGTTTATTTTGACAGTATTAATGTCAAAAAAATCAAAGAAAGACTGAGGAATCAATCTAAATTAGAATCACAGTTTGTAGAAGTTTTGGCTCATAATCAGCTGACACGAAGGCAGGGTGGTGTAGTAGAGGGCCATCACACAAGAGAAACAGTTCATGGCAAAGCAGGGACGGCAGAAAGCAGCAAGCAGCAAGCCAGTGACAGATTCTTTGCTTCCTTTTTATACTGTATCCAGACTGCCTCTGGGGCAGGTAGCACTCAAACAAAAGAGGGCCAGCCTAAATCCTACCCAGAATTATGCCAAAGCAATTAGTAGACTAAGTTAGTAATCACACAACCTTTATCACAGGGTCACACACGCTCCAGATCTAGCCACCTCTGAAAAGCCCCATGTATGATATTTTGACTAAATTCCATGCATAAAATCTCTAAAAATCTGAAAATACTTTGCTAAATTCTTTGGAAATTCTAACCCTAACATGGGTACCAAAATAATGTCATAAAAAAATAAACACTGGAAAAGATGGGACAGTGCTCTTCTACATATGGGCAGGAATGTAAATTAGCACAGACATTATGGAAAGCAGTATGAAAAGTTCTTTAAGAAAAAAGTATAGTCATCTTTTGAACCAGCTATAACTACCCCTTGGTATATTCTCCAAAGAATTTAGGGCAACCCACTCAGTATCCCTTCTGTCTGTCTGACTCTATCAATAAATACCTCTCAAAAATCTCAATAAATATATTCTGCTCTTAACCTCTGTTCCTAAAATTCATTCTTCAATTTAAAAAACATGATCTCATATCAGATATCTAGCAGAGTGGAGTTTCTCTCCCCTATATCATTTGGAGGTCTTCCACAGAGATCACTGGCATCAAATGGGAAATTTAAAACTGTATGCCTATGCAAGATGAAAATGCCTGGTGTCTACCCACAGGGCCTTTAGACAGACCCTCTGTAGAATATCTGTGACTACCAATCAACAACTACGACCCCCTTCAGCCTGAAGAAGCCAGATCGGTCTTTGCCCATTGCTCCCTCATGGCAGTTTGGGGTACTTCTTCAGAACAGCAATGTTATAGCAGCTAAGCTAGATAGAATATTATAGGCAGTCAGACAGGGCTTGGTCCTCAAAGGAGTCAGTGCAGAAGACCAGGTATCTTGCAACTGTGGGGAAAATATACTGCCTGCTGTGGGCCAGACCTCAAAACAAAATGTAAAACAACTGCACCTACATCCTCAGTATAAACATTCTAAATAGAATCATCACCTGAAGGAAGCCAGAAAGAATCACTACCCAACCCCTACAGGCAAAGGCCCTGTTCAGTATTCATGCTCACTTGCTTAGTGACTCAGTTCCCCATCTGATTCTGATTTAACCAATTTTACCTCAATAATTACATTTGCAATCTTATTGATTGACCATAGTTCCATCCTACCTCATGCTCACGTTGCAAGTTCCCATTTTCCCCCACCTTAGACTTGCCTCACCTTGTGGTTCTGTTTCATAAAAAATCCTTAGAAAGGGGCTGGGGATTTAGCTCAGCAGTGTAAGCACCTGCCTTGCAAGTGTGTGGTCGTGAGTTCGTTCCCTGGTACCAGTAAAAATACAAAAAAAAAAAAAAAATCCCTAGAAAAGGCGAGGTCTTTGGCAACCCACTTGGGACCCCTTCTGTCTCTCTCAAGACAAAAGCTTTGTTTTTCCCAATAAATATATTCTGCCCTTTAAAAAAAAAAAAGAATAAAAAGTCAGCATGGAATAGATGTATCTACATACTCTTGTTTACTGCAGAGCAATGCACAATAACTAAGCAATTGAAACAGCTTAGGTGCCCATTAAGAAAAGAATGGATAAAGAATATGTATAGGGGCTGAGGATTTAGCTAAGCGGCATAAGCACCTGCCTTGCAAGTAGGTGGTCTTGAGTTCGATCCCTGATACCGATAAAAAAAAAAAAAGGAGAAGGAGAAGAAGGAGGAGGAGGAGGAGGAGGAGGAGGAGGAGGAGGAGGAGAAGAAAAAAAAATGTATTCATACACAATGGAATATCAGTCTGCCCACATGGAAGAATGAAATCATGTCATCTACAGGAAAATGGATTGAATTAGAGACCATTATGTTAAATGAAATAAGCCAAACTCAGAAAGTCATGTATCAGAGTTTCTCTCATATGAGGAAAAGGAAAGGTAGGGGAAGAGGAAGTGGAGAGTGGAGACAAGGGAGACTATTAGAGAAGGTAAGAGAAATGGAGGAGAAGGAAGAAAAGAGGTGGGACATAATGGAGAGGGAATCACAAGAGTACATTATATGTATGTATGAATATTCAACTAGTCTGTGTAATGTAATATGCACTAATTTAAAAAGTAAAAAAGAATTTAAAAACTGTAATGCTAGGCAAATGAGGACAAAGGAAAACAGTGACAATGCTATTTCAGTTATGTCAGGAAAAATTATGACAGATGGAATCAGTGTGGTGGCAGTAGAAGCAAGCAGACGAAAATCAAAAGTTATCTGGGAAAGAAAAACTGACAGGCGTTGGTGACAACAGAAGAGGGAAAAGCAGTAGTAAGAATGATTCCTAGACCTCTAGACAGGAAACAATGCCTTAATAGCAAGTAGGCATCAATATGTATCAAAATAAGTGTACATAGTCATTATAATAAAGTGTTCACATGTCTATCCAGTAGTATGGACAGCATATTTAGGGAAACACTGTAACAAAGATGCTATCCTTTTATTTTAATTATTCAGCTACAAATTATACAACTTAGTTACAAATCCTTAGAAATGCTGTGTCTGTTGAAAGTTACTACCACAGTGACTTTGTAGCACATATTCTAGAGTTAGGTTGCCTACTTCTACCACTTCTTAGGTGGGTGACCTTGAGCAAGATATTTAATTTCTCTGTCCCAGAGGCTCCTCATCTATATCACAAGGATTAAAAATTGATGTAACCCATAGGGCTGTCAGAATTAAAGCAGTCTGTTATGTAAAGCACTTAGGAAGGAGTCTTATATATTCTTTAACTATTGTTATTACTAATGTTATAAATCCATGATCTTTTGCTTCTAACTTCCAGAATAAAGGGGAAAATCACTAAAATAATTTTCTCCCAGGGCTGGAGATACACCCAGGACTTCTCACGTGCTAGGCAAGCACTTTGCCACTGAACCCTCCGTAACATAATATCTAACTCTGTACTGTTTGGCTCCTTCACATCTCTTCAGTTTCCATTTATGTGCCTCATTACTGACATTCCAATCAATGTTTCACAAATTCCAGACTCCCTGCTACCACAAGACTGTCTCTGTAACCTATTCTCCTCTTTTAAAGTTCACTTTAAATAGTACTTCCTTTAAAAAGCCTTCTTTTAGGAGCCAGGGATTTAGCTCAGTGGCATAAGCGACTGCCTGGCAAGTGCTAGCTCGTGAGTTTGATCCCTGGTACCATGGGGGAGGGGACGACGCCTTCTTTTAATGCCAAATTAGGTCACATATAGTACCCTATTAACTTTCAGAGAAATCTTTTATTCACAGACTTTGTTAACTATATTTATTTGATGTTTACCATTTATTACCTCCAACACACACTTATGTTCATGCACATTTCCAGATTAAGAAAGGTTTTAAGAAAAATAAATGAAGGACAAATTTTGCATTTCCTGACACAAAATATTTTTTCTGAGCCTCATAAATCCCCACATATTGATCCTTAATAATGCTAATGATTGCATGGCAGATGTTTTATCTGCAAGACCTAGCAGAAAAGAAATAGCACATTTCAGGAGTAGTTGGCAGAGAAACTGACTACAAATTCCCAATGAATTTGGCAGTAGAATTTTATTATGTAGTCAGCCATATTGACTTATATAATCTGAGTACGAACTGTTCAGAGGTCATGCTACCAGTAAACATTTTTGTTATGGCCTAGTTCAGCTTATATTTCTTTCAGAGGGCCTTTGAATCTAATCACAGATACAAACAACTAAACTGAGCCTTACAGTAGGGGTAACTTAGTTTTTATACAAATCAAGAGGAGAAAATATTCCAGGAAACAAGGCCACACTGAGGCACAAGTAGTGTATAAAAGTAGCTCCAAACATGGCACCCATTAATGTAGCAAAAATCAAAAGATTTAAAATTGGGCTGGAGACGAAAGGGATCAAATCTCAAAGTCTTACATACATACTCAGGAGCTAGAAGCTAATTTTTAAAGGCACCAGGAAACCACTGAATTGGATCAGCTGCCTGGGAGGCTGACACGGTTAATGTTTTGCATTTTATATATGTCACAGTGATAGATAAATAGATTCAAAAGACAAAAAAACAAACATTAAATACTCGCTAGGAATATATTTCAATTGTCCTGGTGAAAATGATGATGGGACTGCTGAAGCAACGGTAATAGAATAAAATAACTGAAATATTCTACACAACGGTCTTGAAAGTTTCTTCATGATTTGTATGTCCCCTTTTTAGTTTCATCTCCTGTTTCCTCCCTG